ACATTCGGTGCACGAGCGGGGAGACGAGAAGAGCGAGGGATAATAAAAAAAAAAGGGCTGCGATTGTCTCTCAGGTGAGCGTCGGTCACGGATCCGTTAAAGCCACGGTATTAATCGTTCTTGTCGAGAAACGATGTCTAGTTTGCGCGGGGAAATGGATTAAACCGCGGTTTCCGTCGCTCGGCAAAAGAGGTAGTGGCAAACTGCGCTCTGAAACGAGAAATAATTCCGTGGAAAACGATACGTTTTAACTTGGCGTGGGAGATTACCGGGCTGGTTATTCGACCGAAAATATTCGACCTTTTGACCACATACGACTATGCATCGAAATTTCAATCGTTTGAGAATCAATTTTACCTCCCCCGATATTTTTTTTTTCGCTTTAACATTTCCCATTTGCAGTTTTTAAGCTTTTAATTATTCGGTTTCTGTATGAAATTCTAGCGAAATTTGGTCGAAATATCAGTTTGAAAGCTTCTTTTCATTGGAAAGATTAACCATTCAATTTAATTCTTAATCATGCATGCTTTTTTAATCATGCATACATATATATATATATATCAATACGTATATGAAATGCATTTTAATTTTATACAATTACGAATACTAATATTATTCAAAAGCATAATCGATTTTGTAAATAAAGACCTTTATCGTCCCGTCAAGAACAAAGGTCGATAAATTTCATCTTCCGCGAGTTTCAAATTTTGCGCGGTGCCGCGCGCACATGGCGCGCGCAGGCACGATTTCGAAAACATGCCGCGAAACGAGCCGATCGCGGTGCAATTTTATTCGATATAACGGCGCGGCGTGTCGCGTAAGTGGACGCGATTAGCGTTGATGAGCGGCTCGCCAGAAGGAGAACGAACAACAGACCGGTCGGAGGGAGCACGTTCTGATTGAGTTAACCGACGGTATACGTCATTACACGCCAACTCGTCGGCTCTCTCTCGACGCCAAGGCCGACCGCCGCGAAATACGCGTAATCTCGACGTAGTATTCAGGTCGTTCTTAATTAACCTGCCAGTGCTCCGGACTCTGCCACGATAAAACTTCACGACACGCTTCTCCGTGTTCACCGCGTTTCATCGCCGATTTTATCCTGTCACGGGAAATGATCCTCGATTTCGGATCGATACAGTAATTATATATCCTCGTTTCGAGACGTCTGTATTCGAACAGGAAGAGTAGAAACGGGGAATGGATTGAAAACAATGGAAGACGAGTGACCTTGCACTTGAGTATTCTCGCGCATGCGTTGTATTTTTCTAATTTAACTCGGTGCGAATGGAGGGCGTTGTGCGTCGTTTCAGACGGTGGAATTCCGATTGGTCGAAGTTAAATCAGATTTCGTGTCTCGATGTTGGAGATGTTGGTGAGTCATTCGAGTCGTGCAAAGTTTCTTTACATTAAGTTCATATTAGGCGTAGTAAATCGTTTTTATAAAATATCGGTTTTTGCAATATCGGTTTGCAAAATCCGATTTCTTCTTGTACATCTTTCCATCTTCGTCTGTTGCATTCAAGCATTTATCACCAATACTCTTTCGAGATCGTCGTCACACCGTTACGTCCGTTTCTGTGCCAAAGAAGTTACTCGATAATTACCGCGTCTCTTCGTCCACAATTAGTTATCCCATTGCAGACAATTACCGATGTCGGTTGCGAAACCACCCAAGATGAATAATTACGGGCTGTTTAAACGTTTTTTTCTTTTTTCTTTTTTTTTTTTTTTGCGGAAACCTATTTTCTATACCCTACATTATTCGCAACACCTCGAGCGTGTATAATGGCACAAAAGCGTGGAGGATAAATCGCGATACCTTGTTAACGACAGCTCGTCGCACGTTTATGAAACGAGTTAGAAAAACCACGTATTCGTGGTTTCTTTTTTTTCCTTTTTTTTTTTTACAGCAATACAATAGTCTCGCCTCACGTAGGATTAATTGCAATAATTTATACGCGATATTAACACGTTTATTCGATTACACGTTGATAAATAACAACCAATTTACAATCGTCGAATATATTTGATAAAATCTGAAACATCCATCATATTTATATGAATGCAAATATATGGAAATTTATATAAATGGAATATAATTGATCGTCGTAACATCACGTTCATATCAACGTAAATTCGTAATCGATACGTATCTACCACAATTTTACAACAATTATCTCGCTCACGATTATCTCAAGATCGAACTTGCCAAAATTGCCATTATCTCGAGGTGTTAAAATATCCCACGAATAGAGACCGGCTAATTTCTTTGGCCCGAAGTTCGACAAGAATTTATTTCACGTACTACTAACTCGAATAGCGGTCGAAAGTTAGTTTCCTGCCAATTACGGAATCACGGGGGCGTGAATATTAAACCGGGGAGGGAAGAGGGGCGGCTCGGCCATCGAAACATCAATACGCGGCAAACTTCGCGTCCGGGTGTTATCGACCCTGTAATCGGCGACCCTCTTATGCAAATCCTCCGTTTCCATCCTCTTGCTTTCGTTCCATCCCTTCCCTCCCCTTCGTTGTATCGTTACGACTCGACTCGACTCGACCGCCTATAAAGGCGACCGACGGTCTCGCAATCCTCGAACAGAATAATCGTCGCATAACTTGCGAAGCGAGACGCCGCGGTTACGTAAGCGTCTCCGAAAAGCCCGTGGACCACCTTCGGGGCTCGGTAAAACTCGAGATAATCTGCTCGTTTCCCTCCACGATTCCCGCTGTCTCGCCATAATTGGCGAACACCGGCGCGAGCGAGCGTCGCGCAAAAGCCAGCCGGAGCCTCGAAAAGGGCCAAAGCGAACGAGGGCAAATAGGGGGGGGGGGAGGAAGGAGAAGATGGAGAATGGAGAGAAAGAGAGAGAGAGAGAAGGAAGAATCGGGAGGGAAAATGGAAGGGAAAGAGAATGGAGAGAGGGGAATGGAGAAGATGAAGAATCGTGAGGGGGGAAGGAGAAAGAGGAAAGGGGAGGAGAAGGGAGGGAAGGTCTCATGAATCTCATGATCGATGCGCGTTTGCTCCTCCATGTGCACGGAGTTAAAACGTGTCCAAGTTGGAAGGCCACGGGCCGATGTCCGGTAATGGTCGTCGAGGACTTCACCGTGTTACGTGTCAGCCTGTGAGACGTTCCGCGGCAATTTACGGCTGCGTACACAGTGCCATTACGACGCATCGTAAATAAGACGACGCGGCGCGGTACACACGCCGCCGAGCTGCTTCGTCATTTTTTTTTTTTCCCCTCCTCCTCTTCCTCTTCTTTTTCCTTTCCTTTTCTTCCTTTTTTTTCTTTTCCTTTTTTTTTTTCCGTTGTTGCTCATTATGTGTGGGCGTCGTTAATTTCTGGTCCACGGCTGGTGCGCGTTTTTTTGTTCGTCGTGTGACGTGACCTGTGAGACCGGATTTTTTTGAGACTCCATTCCCAACGTCACGTTGGGAACTCGGATTGAGGATTGGAACACGTTTGTTTCGTGTTTTCTTTTTTTTTTTTTTTTTAATTAAGAATTTTTTTTAAAGGGGAAGAACGTATATCGGTAATTTTTCGTGTTATTTTTTACGTTTTTTTAATTTTGGAAATTATTCTTGAGCGGTAATTAAAAATTAGTCGAGATAGTCTCTGGTTAGATGTAATGATCTACGAAACGGAAAGAGAAAATGGAAAGAAGTTGAAATTTTTAAATGGAATATATATCTGGAATGAAATAAAGCAAGAGAAAAGATCGTTCGAGGCGAGCTCGAATCAAAAGAGAACAATATACATATAACATAAAAAATTTCACATCGAATACAATACGAACAGGATAAAATACTTCTTACTGAATCAAAAAAAATCATGGTGCAATCATTGTTCAAGTACAATGCCAATTGTTTTCAATTCCCATTTTCTTGGCTCGCGCAATTAGGCATCGGTTAATTTGCACACGAATAAATACGAAGCTGTTTGCGAATCAAATTGGCCGCGTGGGTGATGGGCGTGCACGCGCGCGCGCGCGATTGCGCAATTACGCGTAATTGGATAATTATCGGGTTAAATTGTTCCAATAACCGGAATTTAAACGTTCGATGCATAATACATGGACATGGTCTTCTGACGTGGGAAAACGTGGCCTCGTCGCGGTTTTCGTCGTCGCGGCGGGTGTAAAAGTAGGTCGTGGGCGGAATAACTCGTTTTCATTACGTGATTCCGCCTCTTTATTTCAATGTCCGCGCCCGTACAGTCAATCTCCATTATCCGTGTCTCGAGGGTTGTGGCCGGATCGCTTGAACAAATGCCAAAGGTTATTCCCTCGTAAATTCGATACGTTATACACAGGAGAACCGCGGCCTTTTACGATGCTTCTTTTTCCTCCTCCCCTGCCTCCCTCACAATCCTCTCTTTACGAACTGATACCGACGAGACCGCGAAATTATGAACCTGGCACCAGATATTGCGTGTATCGTATGGGAGGGAATGTGCGGATTTTACTGCCTTCTTTTTCGAACGTTTAGTAAATAGTATTATCGAGAAAATTTATTTATACCGATTCCTTGCCGCAAAATTAATCAAATTATCGTTATTCCCTAACTACTGATATTTTCACTCGATGAAATATCGCTTAATGATAATTTACTCGCATCAATATGAGCTTTGATCACACGAGACGATAATTATTAAATGTACCTGTATAATTCGTTTACGATACTTGCGTATTACCGATCGATGATCGATTTACCGAAATACGGTACTCGACAATTATAATTTCAAGCAGGTAGTTGGAAAGTTACGTAACTTTCCTCGATATTGCTATTATCGTAGCAACCGATCGAACCGCGCCAAGTTTCTACTCAACATCGAGACGACATCTATTATTTCCGCTCCATTACATGCCCGGGTCATCGCAATTCCGAAATATCATTCACGATCTTCATAGATTATTTCCATCCTCTCGATCGAAACACACGCGCGTCATTCTCGGCTAGCAACTGACCAACTGTTCCAACGTTCTTGTTTCAGGTTGTGACACGACCTTGGAGCCCGGATCAGGGCAAGACGCGGGAGATGACCAAGCTGTGCAACCATAAGAGGAAACTTTTGCTGCCAACTACAGCGGCCGCCAGTCCTGTTGCATCCTGTACACCGGCGGTCTCCTCCTCGGCTTTATCCGCCGGACCGGGCGCAACCGCGATCCACGTGAACGCAGACTCGCCCACCTCGCCTGACAAAGCCAGGAAAGGTAAGAGCGTGACCTCGCGTGTTCCAATTCCGTCCTCGCCGCTAATTTCGACCTATCTAATCGACTCTCTTTCTCACTCTCTTTTCTTCCGTCGAGAAGCAGATCCATTTCTTCCTTCGCGATTTGCATAATTTCGATAAGCGAGGAGTAGATCGGTTTGGATCGAGAAGATGCTTCTCCCAGGCATTCGAGATATCTTCGAACGATGTCGTAAAGCGAGCGTGTCGATCGTGGATAAGATTTTTATATAAGAAAGGGGGAGATTGTGCCCGAATCGAAACGGGTCCAGATTCGATCCGCATCGTAGGAATTTATTTTTCGCTTCAAGTTTCGCGATATATCGAGAACAACGAAACGCAAGATCCTCCAATTAGAGGCGAACACCTCTCGATCCTTAATCTCGCAAGGGAAATCTCGCGTGGAAGGAATTTTTCCATCCACACCCCCCCTCCGGGGGATAGGGTGTAGAGCGGCGATCGATCAAAATCAGAATTTTCCCCCGGGAAAAGTTTCTTGGCTGCTTCTCTTCTCCTTCAACTCGATCGCATTATACATACTCGCCAATCAATCTCGCGTGTATATATATATATATATATACACATATATATATCCAGACGAGAGGCCACGTATATACATCCACCCTTCTCCACCCATCCGTCGATATATATCCCCGCCGAAGAAGTTTTCCCATCGATCCGCCGTATTAACAAAGTTCCGCCAGTTTCCGGTAGTCGGCGCGGAACCGCCATAATCGGGCGGAACGTTTATTCACCGTCGTAGCAGAAAACACGGGGGCGAAAACTTTTATTGGAGGACGACCAAAAGTTTTTCCTCGGTGCACACCAACCCGCCCGGCTCGTTCTCTCGCGCGGCGAGGAGAGGAGAGCGGCCGTGATCATTAAGGCGCGGCGAACCGGGGAGGGGGAGATGAGAGGAGGGGGGATGAAAAAAGTAGCAAGGGGGTGGGAGAAGGAGAAAAGGAACGACGAAATTGCGACATTAGCGGGGTCTGTTGCCACCCCCTTCGCCCGTCCTTCTCTCCTCTCTTTGTTCCCTCGCCCCTCCTCGCCTCCCCCGCGGTGGTCCCCTCTTTTCGCGCATTGAGAGACGGCATTAAAGCTTTCGATGGAGAGGGGAGGGAAAGAAAAAAGAGAAAAGAGAAGAAAAAAAGAAGAGAAGAGGAAGGACGGAGGTGGCAAGCGTTGGAAGGGAAGGTGGGATGGAGGCGTTGGCCCAGGGGGGTGGAATGATGTATCACCGTGGCGGCTAAACTCTCCCGTCCGGATTTCATTACTAAATCCTATAACCGACCGAGCGAGACCCGCTCTTTCTCCTCTTTCTTCTTCTTCTTTTTACTTATTTTGTTTTTTTTTTTGTATTTTTTCATTCTCTCTCTCTCTCTCTCTCTCTCTCTCTCCTTC